TATATAACCATATAGGACCACACGGTTAAAAAGTTGAGACATCTCATCATTGTGTGGGAAAAAGACCATCAATATATATATTTTACAAAATTCTAGAGATATTTTCATATTGTAATGTACGTACCAATAACCAAATTAACCGATGATATATATGTGAAAGAAAGACCAATGAAAATTTTATGTATTAATGAGTTGTCGAGATATCAATAATTGAAGAAGGATATTGTAAACGAATGATAGATGAATCCACTATTAAAGTTAGGGACCATTTTTGAATGAAAGTTGTTGTGTATCTATCTACTTATAACAATTGCATTTATTGATATTAAGCTTATTGTATAATTCAGTGTGAAACTAAAAAATGTCAGCAAGAACCTCTTCTTCTTTTCACAACTTTGTTTGATTCTCTTATAAATAACTAGAAAGCAACACACACAAAAAAGAGTTTAGGAAGTAAATTCCGAAACGGGGCACGTTTACTCACATCTAACTTTTTACAAGCTACTTGGTTATAGAATGATTGTCCAAAAAGAAATACATTGCAGTTGCTACGTTCTTTAGTATCAAAATAGATTGCAAGCTCCCTAAGTTATCTCCAATATCATACTATTATACTAGATTGTACACTTTCGTGACGATTCTTCTGGCGAGTTAATCTCATTAGTTTTTTTTTTTGGTCGAATTTAATCTCATTAGTTAACTCGCTCGAAATGTACGGTTAGATTTTCAAATTTAATTGCTTGAGTTGATTGAAATGTACGTTAAGGTTTTCAAATTTTTGGGTGGGAGATGTAATTCAATTATAAACGGTATGCAAGGGATAGGATTTGGTTCCTCGTTATAACTTTTGATTACATGAAATGGGGACACAATTGTCTCTATTTTCTTTTATTTAAACCGTTTTGCCATACAATATTCCAAATCACACGTGTACTTTATAACAACATTGTGTATCTATAAATATCTTTTAAAAATTACAAATTGAACAACTGAGAAAACTCATGAAAAAGATCCATATACTTTGATACTACTATATTCAAAATATTGTGTACATTTTTTTTTTTTTTGTTAAAAGGTTTCATTAAAATTATATTTGACCAAAATATTGTGTACATACGAAGTTCTCTCTCTCTGTCGGTGTTTTGAAAATCTTGTAACGTTCGTGGCTCTATATTTAATGTCATATTAAAAGCACTTGAAATTATACAAATTGGGAATTGGAAGGGTTCTCTTTACTGCAATACAAGATGGGTAATACTAATATTAAATTTCTATCAATTTTGAAGTTATAATTTTGGTAAGTTTTATTAATCAAAGACCAATATTAACGAGCCACGTGTTCATTGAAGATTCTTTAACATGCATGAGGATTAAGTTTTCTGTCAGTCGAATAAATTCCATTGTCATCGGACTAAAACTTATTTAAATGCTATGTGCGTACTTTACTTTTTAGATTTTGGTTTTTGAAATTCAAACTCGTTAACTAAAACAAACACATTCTCAAGATCTCGCGCTCCTTTTTTCTTCTTTGTCTCAAACGTAAACCTAAAAAAATGCAAACTAATTACAAAATGTTAATCGAAATGACTATTATAATCTCTAATGATTATATAACTAGATTTATTAGAGTGAAAACAAAAGAGAGGGACAAATGTGGAACACGACAAGTGAGAAGGCCAAAGCAACTAGGGTCCGTGATAAATCCAAGTATTGCGGCGAATGTGAAGGTCTTTAGATTCTTACATCCGGTCAACTCTAAATCGTAGTAATGATTTCTATTGCTACAACTGTCAAACTTATGATTAAATTGCTTTATGCTATTGATGAGTAATATAATTAGTCAACTTTATGTGTTAATGTAAATACACAACCTATAAACAAGGAAGTTGAGTTACACATTATGTTGTGAATCCTCTCAATGCTCATCATTTATCATGCTACTAAAAATTGTTAAGTATTCTTTATTGGGGGCATTAAACTTTTTTTAATGATAATCAGTATATTAATAAATGAAAAGCCTCATACTTTTTTTTTGGTAAAATGAATTGCCCCATACTTCTTAGTTCTTACACTAACTTCAAGTGTAACTCGACCACTTTTTACTATAGTGAGATTTAATTTCTGACACCCTAAGTTATTTACGTTGAGCAAGTGTTATAGTCTTACAATCAACCCAAAATCAAATTATAAACGAAGAAATTGAATGCATCGTTCCACACAATTCGCTAATGGTATCTCATTTAGGGGTGATTTCTTTGGTAAGTGGTACATGTTTCGTTTCTTCATTTTTGTCATGTCGGCTCGGTGTAACCATGAAACCATGATATCGGTGACAAAGATGGCTCAGGTCAGTCTTCCACCCTTAATAGGGTGTTTGATTCCAGTAATCTCTTTCTTTGTAAGTAGAATTCCAGATTATCAACCAGTGATTGTTTTTTATACTTTTGTGGTATGGAGATGTCATTTGGATTTTCAATCTCGAAATTATTGGTATATACACGAAGGAATAATATCTTCCATGGATCGAATCATGATTAAAAAAGTCAAAAGATATCAAATGACGATGATACGAAAACGTTGATATTTCATAACTGTTGTCGGAAACATCGGATTTTATTATGCAATGTACAATTTGGAGGTTTAACCAAAAAATGGTACCCACAAACATAATTTGTATTAGAGCAGGATCGAATATGAAAACAAACAGTAACGAATTTAGTAATACATTAGCGGATAAGGCTTGAG